ACATTCACTCCCAGGATACCACCTAAGTAAACTTCAAATGCTAAATTTTTAGAGATTTGTTGGCTATATTAGATAGCTGTACACAATGATGAATAACCGAGATAATTTATATGCATTCATTGAATCCATGTCATTAACTCCCGAAATAATGTGCTTTGCGTTTTTTAAAACACTCTGGCTTCAAAACCAGCACCTCAGAGGACCATAGTCCCCAAGCATGCCATTATCTGTAGTACTCCTTTAATTATGATGTAATGCTGTTTCTACATTGTCTTTACATTTTCCATTACCTACTCTATGAAACTTTCACATTTGCCTCTATTTTACAGTCCTGTTTTCTGTGGTTTAGAAGGGAAATACTTCATATGACTTAATGCAGAGACCTGAGAAAATATAAATAGACCAAACAACAACTTTCATGTTGAGTGTGAACTCTTCTACTAATTTTAGGGCTTTGAGGGGAGTTTAATTTTCTCAGGCTCTAAAATGTTTACAGCTAAACTACTTGCACACAGTGGGAGCTGACCTAAAAACTAGCATCAGATATTCTACACTCATCATGATGAACAAGGGTCCCCAGCCCTGCAAGTGTACAAAATGTTTGTGGTGAAGAGAAGTGTACTTCTCTATTGGACATTCCACTGCATAATCTTGTATAGCCACAACCTGTGATTTCTGCAGATCACTCAGTGTAAATGTGCATAATATTCCCTGAAGAAGAACACTACTAGCCAGCTCTACTGTCGCTGGTAAATTAATTAATTGATTCATGTGACAATCATCTTTTCAGAAAGGCTGTAAATGTTTGTTGTGAATCGAGTAACTATTAGATGATATAGAAAACTGGATAAGTGAATTTTGAAATAGCTGATTAATATTCAGTTGATATACTGTGTAACCTAATAGAAATTCTATGGTATAAAACAATTAGTATTACTTGTTAGGTAATGTCAGTTCTGATGTTGGGAGTAGAATTATCCACATTTGTTAATTTTGCTATGCTTTTCTGTAGACTTTTTTAGGGGGACATGAATTAAGGAGATAAGTTTTACTTTGGTTGAGTCAGTTAACTTTTCTGTTACTTTTCAACATTGTAATGGGATTTAGAATTGAGGCCCTAGATTTTAAAGTTATTTTCTTCTGACAGTGAGACACTGAAAAATTATTATCTTGAAAATATAATTGGATAATTTTGAGTTCACTTAATGTAGAATTATGTATTTAGAGAAGCCATAAGCTTTAGTTGTTCTTTATCCTGTTCCCTTTAGAGTCAAAGGGACAGATGATGATTCAGGTAGCTCCGTAACCTGGTCTAAACTACACTGTTAGTTTTAGAGCATCAGTTCTAACCCTAACCTTACATTTCTGATTTGTACTGTTGTCTCCCCTTCTCTCCTTTTCTCATTTGTGTTTGTTTCAATACATATTTGCTGAGCTCTTGAACTGTTCTATGCATGGAGGTTAATGGTGTTAGTCAAAACAGAGAAAATTCTGGGCCCTTATGAGTTTATATTATGTTATAGTTTAATTCTGTTCTTTCTGCATCATGTGCTTTTTATTTCTCCAAGATACAAAAAATATAAATAATTTAAATTTAACATTTTTGATGTAAATATGGCAAGGGTTTTAATTTCATCAGTTAGGTAAAGTAAAATATGTAACAGACATTTGAATGCTTCCATAATTAAAAGTGGCAAGGGAAATTTACCTATATATTTATATATCTATAAATTATATAAATATATAATGTATATATCTATATATTGATGATGCACTTATCAATGAATATTTATTTGATATACATAGATTTATGTACATATTTTATGAATTTAGTTTTATTTAAAAGTGTAAGGAGAGGCATCTGAGAAATACTTTGCTATTTTTAAATGAGGCAGATTCAATTGAGAAAAATTTGATAAAACGAAGTAGAAAGAAGAAAAACAATAGACATTATTTGAAACCAATTACTGTAATTATTTAAATGCATTCTCTTTTAGTCTTTTATTCCTTTGGATTTTTAACACACTTTATTATCAATTGATATATTAATAGTAACTTGTAATATACTATATAGAAGAATGCAATATACTTTGGTTCTATCAACATTATTTTTCTTTAAGAAAAAAGAGGTAGATATTTCATTGACAACTCATTTAGTCTTGCAGTTTCACTTTCATGTTTATGTACTTAGTTATAGCTCTGACCACAATCATATTCTTCTTTGGATCTCTTTTTAATGTAACATTGGAAGATAAGCATTTTTGAATGTTATTTCAGAAACAAGTTTTAATTCTCTATGAATTGATGATGGGTAGATAGATAAATTTCCATTGTTGTTGGACATTTATTTATGTATGCCCATCTATAGTGAATATTACATGTGTTGCTTCTGATTCTTTTGACTGATTCCTAGAAGTGGAATTACTAAGTCAAAGGCATTGATTATTATTAAAGTTACTATACATGAAAATCAAATAGTTGAAAACTAATGAGCACTTACACATGGGTCAGAGATTGTATTGTGAGTGATAACTTGAAAACTGGTCACAGAAATGAAACAGAAAGAAGTGTAACCCTTTCTCTATCTCTTCAGAGAAAACCCCAGTATAGAAAGAATAACAATGGCCATAGAGGAAAAGAAACAAGAAGTAGATCAAAGATGCCATTTAAAAGCCTGTTATTTTCATAGCACCAAAGGCTATGATAATATAGGATCTAGCACAAATAATGCCACCCCTTTTTTACAAAATATTTTATTACAAAACAATAAGCATGTAATTCTGTAACAACGATATCACACTGAAGCACAGCATATGACATTTTAGTTGAAATGTTCAAATTAAAACTACAAATTATTACACTCATATTACTATCCTACCAACCACACTCAAGCAAGGCTTACTTCTGCTGGACCCTGTGCAACAGTTGATCTCTTCTGTTAAAAAACATTATGCATGTAAATTATAAGACTAAAGAAAATCTATCCCTTATGCCCTAAAGCAGAGAGAGAACCTACCGTTTTAATGAATTTTCTTTGAGTGTACACGTGTGTTTCTGACAGGTGGGATAAAGTGCATAAAATGAGATCATATGTATATGACTTAATATCTTGCTTTTATTATTTTACATAACATGAACATATCTGTCACTTTTTTCAATTTATTTAGTGGCTGCATAATAGTCCAAAATTTATTTATTCATTTATACTTGTCTTCTACCTTTTTTGGATGTTTTAAATATTATTTCAGTGAACATTTTACAAGTAAATTGGTACTTTAATCATGTAATTAGAATAAACATGTCTAATTTGGCATTACTAATGTAAAGAGAATGGCATTTCTGAGCTTTATCTATTAAGTGGAAGTGGGGTTTGTCTTTGAGATTTCTATGGCTGAAGTTTCCGTCAGGTCACTGCAATGCCCTCCAGCCTTGGACGCCTTATTTGGGTCCCAGGCACCTAGTACTCTTTCTTGAACAAACGTGTGGTGACCAGGCAGGTAGTTGAGTTGTCAGTGTCACTAACTAAATGGAATATTTGAGGGCCCAGAAACAAATGAGATCACTCAAGATTAATTAAATATCCATTACAGTTAGTTCATGCTGACCATATGATTATATGGTACTTTTAATTACCTCTTCAATAATACGAGTGTTTTCTTTTTCTATCTCAGATTGCCTTGTGGTTCTCTAAGGATTTCCAAACTGCTTGTGTGAGCAAAGAATTTGTAATCTCACTCACTCAACCTTTCTTTGTTTCTGCCCCTTCCCCTTCCCTCCCCTCCACTTCCCTTTCCTTCCCTTCCTTTCATTTCCTCCCCTCCCCTTCCCTCCTCTCCTTCTCCTTCTTCCTCTTCCTCTTCCTCCTCTTCTTCTCCTCCTCTCTCACTCTCTCTGTTTCTCTCTCTCTCTCTCTCTCTCTCTCTCTCTCACACACACACACACACACACACACACACACACACACACTTCTCTGGTTACATGTTATTTTTCCTCTGGTGGTCTCACTGGCCTGAAGTGTTATGTCTTTATCCTTCTTTTATTTCCCTGTCAGTTCTGACTTTAATCTTCATTATGAGAACAGGTACTTGTTCATCTCTGTGGTCAGAGTCCAGAAAGAGTTAGTCTTTGGCAGAGTGTCTGTAGGAAGATTTCCCCACCTGCATGTGCTAGGGGCCTCATGAAACTGCCTCAGCAGGAAGGGCAACTAAGTATGTACTCTTGATTTGGGATGGGGAACTGTTGAGTTGAGGTCACAGACTGGAATGTACTCTGCAGTGAATAGATTTCTGTGTGTTCTAGAATTTAAAAAGGTATCTACATTTGACCACAGTAGATGTACTCTTTATTGGGGCTGTTTAAGGCATAACAAACCTGAGTCTCTGTGTTTTACCCCACTCAGCTCCCTAGCCTCTGTAACTGTGGCCGGGGAGCTCTGTGCTGCACCCTGAGGACTTGCATAAGGTTTGGCTTGGCAGCAAGGGAAAAGCATCTTTGGTAGAGCAAGTCATGGAGAGTTTCTGTCTGCTGGAGTGCAAGACTTAGTTGCTGGATAGTGCATGTTTCATATAGGTTGAATCAGTTCCAGATTTATAAAGGCTGTAACAGTAGATCCTGCATATTGCATTTTACTGTCATCTCTACCAGAACAAGCAGAAGAAAAGATGAAACTAAGGAGCCTCCTTTGCTTCTTCTGGTCAGAATGAGAAAAGTTAAGGTAGCAGAAAATAATGAAATTATTTGTTAAAATATGTTTTTTGGCTTCTCCATCTGGTTTCATTTATTCATGTCACTCCAGATTTTCATCAAGAATTGAATTCAAGGTGATATTATTTTACATGTCATATAAAAGTGTTGTAAATTGTTATATGTGTACCGATGGGATTATACACTCAAGCTCAAAGTTATGCTAGATCAATATCATGCATGAAACTGAGTAAAAAGAGTGGTTAGGACAGGAACTAGTGTGGACACTTGAATAGATATCTTATGCTGTTTTCCAGGAAAAGGTGATGTATTTGGAGACATCTTCTGGAAGGAAACCACCCTTGCTCACGCGTGTGCCAACGTCCGGGCACTGACGTACTGTGACCTCCACATCATCAAGCGAGAAGCCCTTCTCAAAGTCCTGGACTTTTACACAGCTTTCGCAAACTCCTTCTCCAGGAATCTCACTCTTACTTGCAATCTAAGGAAACGGGTATGTTGTCTGGATCCACTTCCCCTGGTCGTATCCAGGGGGTTAATATGTCCTGCTGTGTTAGTGGAGGCTTGGAAAAATTCTTTCATTTTGCAGCAGTGTGAAGTGACATAATTTTCCCCTTTCTTTGCATTTTGTTTACCTTTTAAGAGAGGAAAAGCCCCTGAGTACATGGCTAAAGATTTTAATCATTACTATTTAAGATGCAAAATGAAAAACAGACTTGAGGAAAAATAAACAAGCTGTACTATGATATAATTAGTTAGTTCTTGGGGGTTTATAATACTGCCACAAAGTTAATATTTATGTCTCTTTATTATGTGGATTTCTTTAAGCTGCTGAGGTTAATCAAACTGGTTGCCTATTTTCTTGATTCACTTTAAAACCTTCTCATTTAGTAATCAACTCATAAAGATTTTTCCCCAATAATTCTTTCCAAGCACACTATTCAAAAAATGATTAGCCACACTGACATATCCTACAAATACATATAGGAATTCTTTACTTTGCCCTTCTGTTGCAAATAGAATCTTCATTGCCATTTTCTTTTTTATGGATGATGTAAACACAGATTTAATTTACATAAAGAAATCTCATAGCTCTGGTTTATAGGTCATTGGACATTGGCTAGGGCTCTTTTGTTGCCAAGAATGAAATACCCATTTGGATAACTGCATAAAGGGAACTTCATGTAAAATGATTGCCCATCAACTATCATGAAGTATTTTGAAATAACAAAACTTCTCTTCCACTAACCCCATTAAACGGAACCTTCCCTGTAGTTAACATGGAGGAAAAAAGTCAAGCCAGGAGACAAATTAACATCTCTGCTGTAGGAACAGAGAAATGAACATAAGCAAATCAATGTAATTCCCTAGTTAGGGCTCTAAAAGAGGATTAGATTCAGAAATCATATTCGTACTAGCTGTGTCACAATATTTGTTCTGTATCTGAGCAGCATTTTCAGTCTATATTTTTGTTAACCAATAGCTGTTGAGCATCCACAGCCTGCAAGACAAAATGTAAAGAGCTGTTGAGAGCACACAGACTAAATACAGAGTTCTTACGTCAAGGAGCCTACAGTCCAGTGTGGGTATTATGTGAAGCACTATTTGTAAAACGTGCATTTTTACAAGTAATTGAGAGTTAAGGTAGTGATGAATGTGGAATAGGGTTGCCAAATACAGTCTAAATGTGGAACTTTCTTGCTTACTCATTAGGGACTCTGAGTCCCTTTTAGTATGAAGCAAAATTATTATGTCTCCTTTGATTTATGCTCTCTCTTCTCCAATGACAAATTTCTTTTCTACAAGGCAGTCTGTTAGATATTTGGAGTTCTTATATATGTTTTCCAATCTAAATTTTGCCAGTTTGGGAATCTTTTTACATACTGCAAGATTACCAAAAAGACCTATGTTGTTACCATCCTCAGTACAGATCTTATTTGTCACTGTCTCCCCCAAAGCATGTTGTTTCACAGAATCTCATCTTACGTTTATAATATACCTGTGGAAAAAAAGAGCAGTTATTTTCTCTTAAAAACACATAAGGAAACTCAGGCCCAGAGGGATTTATATCAAATCACCAACTGATATGTTTGCAATGCAAGGTCTCAAAGACGTAATTAAGAACTCACCAGTAGAAAACAAATTTTGGTCCTTCAAAATGAATTCATCACAAAGCTCCATTGCCATTTTTCTTTTTTTAAAGTATATTTTATTGATTATGCTATTACAATTTTCCCAATTTTTGTCTTTCATACATCTGAGCACATGCACACACTCACACATGCACACACTCACACACGTGTGCACACTGTCACATGTGTGCACATACTCACACACAGGCATACACACAGGTTATAAGAGCCTAGTGCACATACCACCAGTGCGCCCACCTCTGATAGGAAGAGAAGCTGGAGACAAAACACATGTAGTATTTTAAGGGGGCCCAGGAATGTGTGCCTGCCCCTGCAAATGCTGCTGCGTGAGTTACATCAAGTGGCTTCTTCCCTTTATAACCTGTTCCCTGTTATAACCTGGGTCAGTTTAAATAATTGTTTTCAGTGTTTCTGAAGTCCATGGACAACCTTGATGAGCTGAGCAAAATGTAGGGACAAGCTATTGTCCCTACTGTATTCAGTGACACTGAATACAGTCAGTGTCACTGTATTCTCAGGGAAAAAAAGAGAGAAACTGTGAGATAATATTCTCCAGTGATTCATGAGAACAGCTACCATTTTGAGAGCCTATTTTATAGCCACGCATATCAACTTATTTTATATATAATAACTAATCTTACTAAATACCAACCGCCCACAAGCAACATCCCCCATGTATAATCTCTAGTTCTTCAGTGAGGAGGTTAAGTTCCAAGAGTAGGACAGCTAGTTGCCAAATAAATGATGAGTCGGGGTCTGGATTTGAATCCATCTCTGTCTGATTCTAAAACCTGTATTCTTCAGATTATACCCAGTTGCATTGGCTTGTCCAAGTAGCTGACTCTTTTTTTTCCATGACAATATCCCACAGACACGCTCTCAGCAATTTAGAGTTTCTAATTCATTCAGTCACTGTTAACTTCATTCCCAGATGAGCTACTAATAAAAATTATTTTGTTCTCATTGCTATTACTGTAAGCATTCTTGCAACAAACACTTGTTGTGCATTATATGATTAAAACTATGTTGTTAGTGTACCACTGATACCTCATAGCTGTCATAACAATAATTAAATGCAAGCTTGCTCCTAGGAAGTTGGGAGAGCAGATTTGGAGCCCTGGTTTTCAGCCATCATTGATTATGGCTCTGGCCACATGAGCAGATACGTGGCCAGGTAAGCGGTTTGTCTAGTATGCAGTTTTTGGTGGCTGCCATGGGGAGGCATGTCACAGTGCTTTAGCTGCCTGCCTTCATCCTCATTAAGGAAAAGTAAGGTTTTTGTTATGCAAATATAGCTCTCACTACACATCCTTCAGCTCCTCTATATGACATCCTAGAACTAAAACTGGTAATTTCTTCCAATAGCTAGAGCAGGGATTGGCAGACTTCTGTCAAAGACCACTAAGTAGATCTTTTGGGATTTGAGGGCCCTGTAATGTCTGTCTCACCTACTCCCCCTTGCCAGTGCCCTGTGAAAGCAGCTGTCTCAATTCCGGGCTGCTGCAACAAAAGACCACAAGCTGGGGGTGCTTACACGCCGGGAGTTTATTTCTCACAGCTTAGCTCAGTTAAGAGGCCTTCTTCTGGAATGCCAAAATGGTGTTTATTAACTTAACAACCAGCTTGTATGTATGGGTCTGAGAAGGCAAGTGGCACACCCAGCATGGGTGATATCTAAATTTTAAACGATTCTAATCAGATTTTTAAAGAAATTTTTGCAAATTGCCTAGCTGTTATACAATGACATTTACCATTTGTGTAAAGAAGTTAATATGGCAGGCATGATGGCTGAACTTTGAAAGACCTGTTTATAAAGTGGGCCCTTGGCTGGCATCTGGGAACTTGAATTTCAAGAGGGTTCCCATGACTCTGATAAGAGTGGCTCATGGTGCCTACCCTATTTATTCATACAGTGTGGTTTATACTAGACATTTACTTCCTGGAGTCTGGAATCTTGGCACCTGTGAGGCCAAGGATAGCTGTGTGAACAGTCTCCACCAAAAATGCCGGCACAGAGTTCCAAATAGCATCCCTGCTGGTGGCAGCATTTCACAGGTGTTGTCACAACTTGCTGCTGAAGGAATTAGGTAGCAGACCTTTGGAGACTTGTGCTTAGCTTCTCTTGGACTTTGCTCGTGCGTCTTTTCCCTTTGCTAAGTTTGCTTTGTATCTTTATGTTGTAGTAAGTCAAAGCCATAACTATATCTTGAATTCTGTGAGTCCTCCTAGCAAATCATCCACCATGTGGATGGTTTAAGACCCCCAGTGTACCATTTATAAAGGTTGATTGGAAATCTGTATTCTCTGAGGTCCTGACATCTGTGCCTATCGTGGTGATTTCACTATAACTTTTTTCCATAAAGACACTGAAAGCTACTGACATTATCTTTGTGAGTATAAGGAATGAAGTATTTTCAAGTTGGTGGGTACATTTGTCCATGAAGCTGTCAGGAATATTCCTTTCCCTTGAAACCTGAAATAAAGGCTACATTAACACTTCTAGCAACATTAAGTATGGCTGGGATTTTTAATTATTTCTAAACATCTCTTTCACTTGCAAAATAGCAAGAACATATTTTCCTCCAATTCACTGTTTAAATAGGGTGAGTGAGGAGTTCTATTTGTTACTTTCTATACCTCTTCTGGTGAGACATTTCAATAAAATGTGGCACACAAAGTACTGGCTGGCTTAGTGTATATGCAGTATACATTCATCACTCCCCTGTTGCTTACCTGTGGGGTAATGGAGATAAAAGGCCGAGTGCCTGCTCTCCAGGAGCCTGCAGTCTACTGAGAGAGTCAGGTGAATAATTATAATAGAGCCAGGTAAGTGCAATGAGGAGGCTACCCTCAGGACACCAAGAGGGCATGGCGGGGGTGAATCTATTTCATCGCGGGAGACAGGGAGGGATTCCAGGAGGTATGACAGCACTGGAGTTAAAATTTTATTTCAGACAGAGAAATATTCTAGAGCAAGGAAAGACCTTGTAGATTCTGTAGTTCAACTTATTTTCTTTAAAGATGAGAAAACTGAGACCCAGAGAATTACACGAATTGCTTAAGTTCATTTAGCTAATTAGCTTCAGAGGTGGGATTGGAATCCACACACTTTGAATCCCTTGCTGGCTGTACTTCTGCTATGTAGCCTAGATTAGAATCATCAGGTAGAAGATTGTGAGTAAAATGCAATGCTGGGTTGTGTTGTTTTTCAATAGGGAAGAAGGAAGGTATATAGCATGACTTTGCATGTGATTTACAAATTGATTTTAGTGCCGTTCACACTGTGATTTAGAATAAAACTAACAGTGGAGCCAAAAAAAACAGCTCTAGGCTGTGTTCA